CACTACTACGACTACGACTACGACTACCACCACCACTACTACTACTAGTACGAGTACCACTACTAGTACCACCACTAGTACCACCACTACTACGACTACGACTACGACTACCACTACCACTACCACGACCACTACAACTACAACTACAACTACCACCACCACCACTACCACTACCACAACCACTACCACATTACTATTACTACTACCGCCACCACCACCACGACCACTACTACTACCACTTCCACTAGCACTACCACTACCACTAGGACCAAAACTACCACTACTACCACTTCCTCTACCACTACCACAACCACTAGCACAACCACTACCACTACCATACTACTACCACTACCACCACCACCACCACGACGACTACTACTACTACTACGACTACCACTACGACTACGACTACGACTACTACCACTACGACTACAACAACAACAACTACTACTACTAATACTATTACTATTACTACTACTACTACTACTGCTACTGCTACTGCTACTGCTACTGCTACTGCTACTGCTACTGCTACTGCTACTGCTGCTACTACTACTACTACGACTACAACCACGACCACTACCACTACCACTACCACTACCAACGACGACGACGACGACGACGACTACTACTACTACTACTACGACTACCACTACCACTACCACTACCACTACCACTACGACGACGACGACTACTACTACCACTACCACTAATACCACCACCACTACCACTACCACCACTGCTACTGCTGCTATTACTACGACAAGGACTGTAGCGTAGCCTTCATGGGTCAAAGTGAAATGGAAGTCGAGCAATTAGTTCGGATTCGGCCAGGGAAGTGGACTGGTTCTTGTGTCAGTGGCAGACGTAGCTGCAATAAACTGCTGTGAGTGTCATTTACTAATTCATTCACTCACTCATTCATTCCGTTGAACTGCCGTGGCGACGAAGAGGCAGCTGTTTGGGCCGCAGGCCATTGAGCGCTGCTACGCACTGCTTTGCATCGCTATGCAGGGGTGGCAAGGTTTGCTTCAGGCTTTGCTGTGCTGCTACAAACAACTGTTTGTATGCAATGCTATGTTGCTGTTCAGTTGGTTTTTGATGATGTTTGATAAGTTTGATCCAGATTTTATGTGATGTTATTTGACAAGGTCAGGATGGGTCAGGCGCAGATAGTGCAGGTAGATGCCTTCAACCGACGGGAACAATTTTAGAGGGAGATCAATTTGTGTGTGAGAGAGGAGAATGAGAGAGGAGAAAAGCGTTATGAGCACAGCTGAAACACAACGCTTCATTGAGACACAGAGACACAATCTTGCGTGTCTGATAGACGCATTGTTTCCAGTCTACCGAGTCTGTCCTCCTGAGCTGTCACGCTACGTTTTACCACATGTTTGTTTGTATTCGCTGAGGTATGTTTAGGTTCCTTTTTGCATCCTTTCAGTTCTTTGGGTCGTAGTGCCTTCAGTTTTGTTTTGTTTGCGAAGATTTTGTTACATTGCTTTCTTGGGTCTCGCCTCCCAAAAAATTGTCAGTTGTTTGGGTACAAGACTCCGTATGCTGACTGCTAACTGCTAAAGCATGTTTCTCTGTTTCTTGCTTTTTAAGTCATGGCTAGCCCTGACAGGATATGAAACTTCAGCTTTCTCAAAAAGTGACCGGGGCCACTTGGTGGCTTGATGCCGCGACTGATCAACTTCGCATGGCTTCGGACATTTTGGATGGGCTGACAGAGTGGTGTGTTTGCATGGCGAAAGAATTGGCTGCGTGCCCGTGCTCTCCATCTGAAAAAGACATTTCTGTGGTGATCCAGGGAGGTTTGCTTGAGTCCAACGGCACGTGTGCGAAAGCAGACGCTGGTGCATTGAGTCTTGCTCCGTGCCCTGAAGATCGAAACTCAAAGTGGCTCAGCTGTAGCCTTGGGAATGAAATCGACGTTTGAAACGACAAGACAAATAGGAAACGACAAGCCCCAAAATAGCCGAAGAAGGAAACCGCATTAAACAAGTTGAAACAGGACAAACCCTAATAAAACATGCCTTTCTGAACATGTATGTTGTTCTTTCCATGTGGCTCACAAACACCGGTCTTTCAATGCTTAAGCGCTTAGCTTGCACCTTGTGACATCTTGCTGGTCTTGAACTACCCACACTGCTCATGACTCATAAGTTGCTCGTCATAGGAATAAAACACTGCCAAGTTTTGCTTTCCAAACACGGAATCCCCATGTTCCTCACGGTTCGGATCCGTTCGGATTTAGACTGTCCGTTTATAAGTTTGTATTTATCCTGGGTCTTGAAAGCTATCCGCAGTATGTTTGCACATGTTTGGCATCATTCTCATCCTTATCATGATCCGGCCTCTTCCTGATCCATCCTCCTCCCTCCTCCTCCTCGCTCCTCCTCCTCCTCTTCCTCCTCCTCCTCCCTTGGCCTTTGTTTGAGAGGTGCCGATGGCAGAGGTTTGATCCTCCCCAGAACCTGAGGCAGTCGCAGGGGTTTCTGTGGCATTTCGAGTCTGGGAATTGTGTCTAGACCTGTTCAATAGCTTCAAATGTTTTCTTTCTTTCTATAAAAGTGTAGGAGAATTAGGCATTCTTAGTAAGGGTTTGTTGCAGAGTCCTTTTTGACATGCGACCCATAAGCAATCCAGGCTTTTTCGGCTTCGATATGAGCGACACAGCAGAGAAACTTTGGGTGGCCACGAGCGAGGCTCCGAGCGGAGCCCCGGTGCACTTGGGGAACTTTGCTTTCAAAAGCAGCCCCTCCGGCGGCGGAGGCACTGCAAAGAATAGACAGACGTCACGTGTCTTTTTTTGCCCGGTCTTAATTAAGTAGGGGCTAGCCGCTACTACCCACTGGACGCAGGATAGTTTACGCTTCTTCAAGGAAGATCCCCCCACCTGAGGGCGGGGGGCTTCCTTGAAGAAGCGCTCGCACTATTCATTTGATTCCTAGATGCAGTTTCTCTTAAAAGACGTCATGTGACATCATGTAAAGAGGTCTATTTCAGGTTTCATCGAGGGTTTCGGCCCAAAGGGCCGCTTTCCATCGGAGTGTATTCCAGCATCAAACTGCTGGTGTGCCACGGTGCTGCCGATAGCCACTGCCCTTGATGAGGCCTTTTTCAGATGTACATGGACCGCGCACCATTTTCTGACATGCTTTGTCTCCATGCCAACCTGTCACTGCCGGTGAAGCTTGGGTATTCCATGCAAGTTTCAACCGACTGTCGATCGGTCTTCATGTGGCGAGGAGATCATTTGGCATATTTTCACCATGGAAATTTCAATACGACATATTATCTACTTGTCAGTGGAGATCCAGCAGATCCAAAAATCGGATTTGGACTATTGACCGCCACTGAGACAGCATCTCCAGATCCTCACTATCGCTTTGCACTTGCAAAAGGCAAGCTCACTTCAATTGCCTGGCCAGGGTACTCTGTGGAAGCAGATTTCACTCAGGCAATGGTGCCAGCGCAGAACCCGACCCCAGTCAGCTGTCCTTTCTTTAGCGACCAGAGTGTGGTGATTTCACCTTCACCTCCGTCATATCCGCCATGCCAAACACTGGGTGCGTTTGTGGGTCACTCTGTGGCGTCTGGCACCTATTACCAGGAATGCCGAGAATCAGCTCTTTTTCAATTGGGTACTACTTCAGGAGCTGAAGTAGAGGAATATATCAACATGTTTTGGTTCAAGTGCCCAGGTGATGCCGTGCTGTCAAGAGTCTCGTGGTATTCTTGGCTACCTCCGATGGGCTCCTCCGAAAGTATGAAAGGTGGAGCCACCATAGAATGCAGCTCAGTAGGTGTCCAATACGTCAAAAGGGCACCCAACTATGCCCAAAAGACGTATCAGGCTGCGTACGACCCAACCACCCGCCTTCTTAATTTCACTTGTCCTCCTGGCACATTGATAAACACTTTGCAATTCTCAGCGGCTTGTCTGATCGAAGCTTTTACTTCTTAATTGTTCTATCCAATCGCAGAACATTGTGCTGGGGTTGCTGGAAGTATACCAGACTTGGAGTTTTGTGTTCTCAGGCAAACAAGACCTCGGACAATTTGGTGATTTGCGTTGGCCCTTGGTTGTCCGAAATTGCACCCGCTCCCAGCGGCCCAATCACTCCAAGTTTTCAGGACCGACCTTGGGACTTGGGAGATGGGTGTGAGATGTCACTGTGTCACACTGTGTAACGTTGTGCAACACTATGACTTAACAAAGTGTTACATGCATTTCAAGCAGAGTATAACTTTCGCTTCGACGCAACGCCTAGCTTCTCTAATTGCATGACTGTGAGGCCCGCAGGCGACTGTGGTTCAAAACTGATCAGCTCTTATTGTACTTTCTTTCTCGTCACACAATATCCTCTCACTTCTCACGTCCACTGCTGTATTGACAGAAGTCTCGTGGGCGCACTGGGTCGCCTGGGTGCTTGGGTCACATTTGCTTCGTCAGGGCCTCGTCCAACGGCGCTAGCTTTGCCTCAAAAGTGGGTAAGGTTGGTGAGGCTCCGCGACAAGTTCCGGGTATGTACATGCCTCATTGGGACAAAACCCTAGCCATCTTGGTGGTTCGGCATCTAAAGGATCGCGCAAGTTGATGGGATGACTTGCGTGATGCAATTTTCTGTATCAGGGGTTCTCAACCAATCGAAAGCTCTTTGAACGTTATTTGGTGGCATCCAGGCGTGCAACTTGCAGTCCCTCTGGGTAAGCAGATCAGAGATGCCTAAGTCTCTGAATGAAACAGTTGACTTTATGTTTGCACCGCCCGCTGCAAATGTAGATCGCTGCTGGATGCTGCAAAGCCCATATTGCGAACCGAAAGTGGGCGTCTGAAAAAGGTGTACAATTGTAAAGAGACCCAGGCCAAATAGACAAAAACTGAGATCTTTAACATCGCCCAAGTAATTAGATAAGTTACTCGTTCATCGCGATTTTTCAGATTCCACCAATTGCCCAGATCTCTATCAAGAGGGCTTGCTTGGCGCTGTTGGTCCTCTGTCCAAAGACCATGGCATTTGTGCGCGAAGCCTTCATGAGTGGGCCCTGTTTAGGATCTGCCACGGAAAAGAACAATGAGCTTGACTATGAAAAGGATCCCACAATCAACACAGGGCCCATTTCCAACCATGCTAATGAGACCTCTGCATGTTCAATGCTAGCATCAGTGAACGGTTGGACTTTATAACCAAGTCTGCCACCCACACAAGCAGCCGTGTTTTGAAACTCGTGTTGCTGTTTGCCATGTCCTTTTTTGCCTTTGAACTCTTTTGTGCCTCTAAGCCCCAGCTGCTTGACTCTTGACTGCCCATTGACTTCGACACATGGAACGAGATGTTTTTCAAGTTTCTATGCTGCCAATTTACACTCCATCCGTTCAATATTTGTGGCACCCTTGATGGGTTGCAGTAACATTTTGCAGTAAGGTGGCCATGGGAGAGGGTTGATTCTGAGTGGATTTTAGTTATGGCGGTTATAAGTGACAGGGGTCTCGCTACAGGATTGGCTTGTGAAAGCATTCCCTAGGTACATTCCCAAATCTATGCCCACCCCAACACATGGTATATCATTCTGGTGTGTCATTTGTTTGAACATCTATTATTTCCAATGTATGCAGATGCAGGAGCTATTCAAGCGCTAAGTCCAACATCATAGCAGTCCAGCTACCAAGAGCCAGGAGTTGCGTTCAACAACCTCCCCTAACCTACAGGTTTGAAAGCAGGCCATAGCCCATTGCCTGAACCGGCAACCTGATTTATGACCAGTACTTGCCCTCCTTGCCACCTCTTGAGCCATCTTGGGTGCAAGTTGTTGCTTCCATCGATTTTAAAGTAGGGCTGCCGAACACCCTTGGGAATGGTTATGAGTAATTATATAGGATGTGTTCACGAAAACAAATAATTAGAATAAGACAAGAGTAGGTTGAGAAAGGATGAGAAAGGTCAGGGTGTTAAGAATAGAGGGTGTTCCGTCAGGGGCGACCACTCATCCTTCCTCTGAAATCAGGGGCACCTGCGACCTGTGGCAGCTTCACACAGTCCGACATCCATGTGTGGGAGGAATCCCAAATCCCTTTTGTTGTTAAAGCTACACACGACAAAGAATATGAGGCAAGTCCCTCGTCTTGCCGTCAAGCACATTCATTCCATTCGACCAGAACCGTTTGTTTCTTGCGCCTCCCAACCACTGAGATTCTTCCTAGCTGCCTAGCCCCATACTTGGTAATTGAATCTGTGCAATGTTGCATGTGTTTTTAGTGCTTCAGCTGTTTTGTCGAAAGTGCTTTGGTGGCAAAATCTTTCACCCTGCAGTTTGACGAAAATGGCCCGGCGGGGACTCAACACTGGGCGATGCGCAACGAGAAGTTGCTGCGGACGAGCTCAAGAGCCTGGATGGAGCTCGAGAGCTGTGAGGCTTCACTGTCCGTGCCCATGGATTCAAACCCGAACCCCAACGCAGATGCCGAGCCGCTCAACCTCACCATCCCAGCACTTCCATCTTTGTCACCGAAACAGAAGGAAGCTTACACCAGAGCTCCAGGAATCCACATCACAGACGCAAGCGCTCAGAAGATTTTCTTCACTTGCTTGCCAGGCCGCCAAAGAATTTACACATCAGTTTGAGTGCTTTTGTTTTGCTGTTTCGGGGCACTAGCGAAGGCGGAAGGCGATTAGGTTGGAGAAAGTAATTCTGACTTGCGAGGCCACGCAGAAGGGCCCTTGTTGGATGGACATCCATCGACGTTGTGCGCCAGCAACGCGGTTCTGAAGTCAAGTGACCTATCCCAAGCAGAAAGTTTGTTCCTTGAATTGCAATTTCGTCGACTTCCAAACTTTAAAGATTAAGTGTCAAAGTTGGAGAAGAATCTTTCGAACCAAGGTTCAACGATCAGTTTCGGATGTTGTGGGTTCAAAAAAGTTGCCCAGTTCTGACGCTTGGTGGATTAAGTTTTCTAAGCATTTTAGCTACCTCATACGGTGCTCTTTCTACCACTCTCAGTCTCTCAGTTCAACCTCCTCAGTGACTTAATTACATCAGTTTCCTGTTCATGTTCAACGGTCAAAGTTTAGTTGTACAGGTTGCTTCCCACTGTTTCCCGCATCGTGTCTAAGCTTTCTACGTCCAGAGCTGTACCCCTGCCCGACAGGATGGAGGCATCAGCCTCACCTCCGAGCGGAGCTACAAACACAGCAAAAGGTGGCATGACCATGCAGCAGCTTTTGGGCATTCTTCGCTTGGCTTATCATACGACAAGTTTTGGAGATCCAACGGCCCCGCCCTTCAGTTACACAGCTGGAGCTGGGTCTCTAAGCTTCGCTGATGCGGTCGGATTCCTCAGTTTGGAGCCTGGAGGTGCCGTTTGGGGTCTGCGATGCCCAGAGGGTGCGGTCGTTGCCTCGGACAGTTCGACCATGCCGTATTGCCGGCAAATCGAAGCCGGAAGAGAGCCTTGGAAGCGAAGGGTCCGAAGGGTAAGGGTTTTTAGCGACAAATTAAGGCTTCGAACAGTTTCAGTGGCCAGTGTTTGATTCTTGTGCAGCCTAGCCGCACAGTCCATCGCAGGTGTTTTGCAAGTATTCCAGCTATATATAAATCAAGCTATATAAAATATAAAGGTATCGCAACCGCCAAGGTCTTTTGGAAGACCTCAGCGAATTCCAGTAGGCTACAGCAACAACCACGCTTTGATCCGAGAAGTTTTGTTCACTTGGTGCACTTGGTGATGAGGTTTATAGAGATCAGAGAAGTAGACTGTTCCATGAGAAGATGAAGCAAATGGACGGGAGGAAGAGGATGAAGACAGCCTTAGAGTTTTAATCAAATTTAACATATTTAATCAAACAGCGAGTCGCAAACTTGAAAATTGAGCTTCACATGTCCACTTGCAAACTGGCGAATAATTTTCAAGGAACAGCCAAAAGTAAAATTGAAGAGTTCAATAGCACTGATTATACACACATGTACAACAGGTCATGAGATTAGGTCAGCATTGTGGAAACGGCGAGACCTAGCAAGCATACAACAGCGCAGATCTTCAATTGTGCAAATTCAAGCCTGCGAAACTCAAATCGGTTAGCCTCATTCAACCGTAAAGCTCGGCCCAAATACCCTCAATGTGCCTCAAAACTTCACCACGGGGCACCACATGAGACCGTAAGCTCCGTCCCTCGAAAAGTACCTTGTTACTAGTAGCGTCCTCTTGTCCTAGTACGGCCAGGAGCCCCTAGTAGCGTCCTTGCTCCTAGTAGCGATGCCCTTTGCTCCTAGTAGCGATGCACCTTGTTACTAGCAGCTTCTTATTACTCGAAAGAAATTTGCTACAGCCCACCCGCTGATATCAGCGAAAGGTGCCAAGTCATGGAGCGGCGCCCGATCGCACCTCTTTCAGAGCATGGAATCATGGCCATGATTTGAAGACAATACTCCTAGAATATCCTAGAATCTCTTTGCAGCAATATCTCCAACACTGAAACCCTTGGTTTTCGTCCGCAGTGTAAGCCAGCTCTCGATGGCATAACCTGGCAAGTCCTTGTGGCAAGATCGAACTTTGAGGAGATCTCCTTGCTTCAAGAGAAGCTGTTGTTGGAACGGAGAGCCACAACTCGACAGCGCTGCGCTCACCCAAAGTAGTTTCTTGCGTGTGTCCCCTTGCATTATATTTTTGCCCCCATCACGCAGACCAGGCTCAGTCAGTTTTTACAGATTAAGATGGTTAAGGCATAATTTGGTGTCTGCGCACGGTTGCAGCTTACGCAGGTTTGATGTCAAGTGCATCCTGTGTCTCAGGAGAAGACTTTCTATGCATTCTCCGGGTCAATGAACTGCCCTGACGGCAGCGCGGTGAGTGGGTGGTACAATTTACCTGGCCTGCCCGTCGAAAATGGGAGCTACGGTGGCCCGAAGAATGCAACTGGATTGCGGCTCTATTGCCGATCCACTCCTCTTTTGTCATCCTGCCAGCAACCCACTTCTCCTTATTGCCAGGGAGGTGGTGTCGTGACCAGTGTAAGCTTTGATTCGAATAAGTTCACCATTGGCTGCTGCAAGATGCAGAGGCAGGGGCTACAAACCGCATCCTGCGGTCGGGTGGCAAAAAACTGATATAGATATATTCTCCCTTGTACCATTATTGCTTGATTGTATCATATTGTTTTGTTGATAGATCGCGGCAAGCCCCGCGGCGTTTCTTCCAAAATCATGAGAATGCACCCTTGTGAAAGCATAGCGTCCAGGCGCATCGGCATGGCATTGACGTCAAATCCAAGAAGAAGTCAGCCTTACAAGGACATTCTTGCTTGTTTGACGCGGGGTCAATGCAGTCTTCGTTTGGCAGATCAGACCAGGTGGGAAAGGAGAGTTGCAATAGAACAAGATGGAATCTGCCAGAGATGAATTTGAGCAAAGGTCAACCCTTGGTTGTGCAGAGTTTCACAGATCCTTCACATGTTCGCACAGCCACAAGTGATTCGCCTCGATTTGCAGGACTTTGCAGGGTACTACTGCCCCATTGCGATGGACATCACCGGGGCCCCTAGCTATGTGAAAACTGTGATCCCGAGCCTGGGGTCACCGGCGCCAGAGGCATCCAGGCGAGTGCCGGCAGACTGTTCTTTGAACAACAATTCGCTATTTGGCACTGGTATTGAGGGAGGCCATCGCTATTGGGTTCCTTTTGCAACTAGGTTAGCAACGCGCGCACTGTCGCAATTCAGGCCCCCCACCTGGACCTTGACCTGGAACCGCTGGAATGCATCGTGGGAGCTCCTTAGAAGCAAGGCCATCATTGCATCATTACCTGGAACAGAGGAGCCCCGGCTATGATGGCGCCCTTGAACCAGAGGTAAAGCTCTGATGGATTTAATTACAAGAGAAATGTCCATGTATGTTTGCCTGTGTGAAGTGTATCCATACTCTTGAGGGCATTTGACATGCACATACCTCATGACCCGCAGCGGCGGGCTGCTCGAGCTAAAAGGGCCCATTGGCTGCGCCACCCTACTCCTCACCTCTCGGTGAGATCGGTCGACCGCGATCGTTTAGCCATTTGTGGTTGGGACTTAGCGTGCCTACAACCCTGACTACCTGTTGTTGGTAGCGGAGCTGGAGACAGCGATTCTGGACTTTGACATCGAGGTTCTGCCAACATCCCCACACTTCATCCTGGACTTCACCTATGGCAAGTTCTGGAGCATCGGCCGCCGCCGCGGCCAATGGAACCGGTGGATCGTCATCCTATACCGGCAAAGCACACGAGCTCATCCCGGAGTTCAGTGGAAAGTCAAATGACTACAAGGAGTACCGCAAGAGGGTGCTACTCTATGAACGCAAGATGGATCTTGCGGGAAGAAAGACAGAGACTGCCTTCAACATCATGAGCTCTCTAAAGAACAGAGCTTGGGACGCCTGCGAAGACCTCACCATGGAGGTGTTGGAGAGCGAGAGAGGCATGAAAGAGATCCTCGTGCGGCTGGACGCCGTGTTCAAGTATGACGCTATCACCGAGCTCCCTCAGGACTTCGAGAATTTCTTCATCCAGATGCAGCAAAAGAGGAATGAAACGATGCAAGAGTACACAGCCAACTTCGAGCGACAGCTTCGACGACTTGCTGCCCACGAAGTTCAACTCCCAGAGAAAGTGATTGGCTGGTACTACTTGCGACGTGCTGGACTATCTCAACAGCAACGTCAGTTGATCATGAGCACGATCACGACCTCAACGCTGTCCCTCGACTCAGTGCGAAAGGCGGTGAACTTTGTCATCGGCCAAGATCAGACACCTGAAGGTGCGTCAGGAAGCCGAGACCACCGCTTCAACAAGATGAAGGACTCGATCTACACTGTGACCGAGGACGCCTGGAGCTATGACCCCGAGCCCGATGACGCCTACTATGAAGATGAAGAGTCGTGGGAGATTGGACCTGATGACTCCCTGAGCCAAGCACCATGGATCGACGATGAGCCAATCCACCATGAAGCTGATGATGAGGTCCTCATGGCGATGGATGCCGCTTCAGAGATCTTCAGAGTATGATGACATCATGGCCAACTATGTGGAGGCCAGATCCAAGCTGAATCAACTTCGAGTTAGCAGAGGCTACCACCCCGTCGTCGCCATGATCCCCGACCAGAAGGGCTATGCAGGAGGTGCTGGCAAAGGAAAAGGAAAGAAAGGGAAGTCAAAAGGGAAGAGCAAGCAACAGCCGAGACCATCAGCCAAAGCGCGAGGAAAAGCTGCCCTTGGAGCCGTCAAATGTCTTCGATGTGGCCGTGCTGGTCACATGGCAGCGAACTGCCCAGCATCCCAGAACAAGCGCAAGGCTGAGGCAGATCCCGAGAGCGAGATCCATATGGTCATGGACTCCGTCATTGAGGAGGTGAACATCTTCGATGAGGATGGAACCGAGTCGGAGCCCGATGATACTGCCATGTTTGACTGTGGAGCTGCATCGGTCATCATTGGCGCGCAGCAACTTCGCCGGCTGATGAAGGCATTGCTGATGAAGGGCTGCGACATTGCAGCCATTCCTGCATGGAAGTGTGAAAAGGGATTGCGCTTCGGCAATGGCAACCGAGATGTCACGACCCTTTGTGTCCTGGCGCCGACCTTCTTCAAGGACAAAAGGAGGGACATACTGATGTATGTCATGGAAGGCTCAACACCATGCCTGCTGGGCAGGCCAGCAGTGGAAAGCTTCAAAATCACCATCAACTATGGAGCCAAGATCATCGCGTACGATGATGACTTGAAGTTTGAGCCGGCGACGCTGGGGCAGAAAGGCGAGTTCATCGTGCACCTGGTGGAGGACTACCACCTGGTGAAGGAGAAGAAAGTGGCTGATCAAGTCTTTGTGCCCGAGGATTTCGACACCCACATCTTCGAGCAAGTGCCACTTCACTCCGTCTTGCAAGTGCCCGCGGATGCCTTCCTGGAGACTGACGTGAGCATCATCGCGGAGAAGTCAGTGCCAGAGACAACGCCTGACGTCACCGAGATGGAGACCAGTCCCGCACAGAAGACTGGAGAGCAGCGCGATGTCCTGGACGATGAGGAATTGGACAAGCTTCACCCTGCACAGCTGAACAAGCTGTACTATGAGACGGTCAGTGCCATGAAGGAGCTGGATATGGACATCTACCGGGCCAAAGACCTGGAGAACTTCATGCCACCACGGACCTACACCATCTGGGAGGTCTCCGCTGGTGAAGGAAAAGTGACAAAGACGGCCAACCGTCGGGTGAACTGTACCGCTACAAGATTTTCCCGTGAAGATGGCTGGACTTCTCACAAGCATCTCATCGACGAGCATTCTTCAAGAAGCAGGAAGATGAGAAGCCTGACGCGGTCCTCTACAGTCCCATGTGCAAGCTGTGGTCGCAAATGCAGGAGCTCAATAAGGCAAAGAGTCCCGTTTACGCCTCCAATCTGGAGGTAAAGCAAAAGGAAGACCATGAAACACACCTCACTTTCGTGGCAGTCAGCTACGAGAAGCAGAGAAAAGAAGGACGCTTGGCCATGGTTGAACATCCTTGGCATGCTACCAGTTGGCAAGCCCCAGCGTTCAACAGGATGGAGGGCTATGACGCCCGCATCGACATGTGCGAATATGGTCTGATCCTGCCCGACGATACAGGAACCATCAACCCAGTTCAGAAACCTACGCGCCTGCGAACGACAAGTCCCATTGCGCATTACCTCGCGTGGAAGGAATGCAGCGGAGGTCATTGGCACACCCACCTCGAGGGCTATGCCTTGGGCATTGGAGCACGCACAGCCCTTGCAGAGAACTACACGCAGACCTTTGCCACCGCTCTTGTGAACAGCGCCCTGGCTCATTTGGACAATCAGGATGACATTCAGGCGGTGGATGACTATGTCGAGGCCTGCAACAAGGACTTGCCTGAGGAGAAACAGCTGGTTGAGTCCGAGCCGGAGCAATCGGGAGCTACGTGCTAAAGTTGGAGGCCGAGCTGTTGAGTATGTCCAGCGGCTGCACAAGAATCTGGGTCACTGCGGCTCAGAGGTTCTCACAAGAATGTTGAAGGAGGCGCAGGCCACTGGTGATGTTCTGGAAGCAGCTTGTGCCCTCTGCGCTATGCTCGCAAGGGGCCCAAGCAACCACCTCCGGCTTCAGCGTTGAAGTGCACCGAGTTCAACGAGCGCATCCAAGTTGACTCCCACTGGATCCTGAACGATGACTCAGTGGTCAAAACAGCCTTGCCCGCACCGGGCACGCCTGCGGCGCGGTGATGTGAGAAGGAGAAGGCGGAGAAGACCCCTCAAGGAAGACGCTGTGTGCTGACAGTGGTGGACCATGCCACCAGATACTGTGCCATCAGGATCCTCAACAGCGAAAAAGCGGAGGAGTTCACCAAGGGTTTGGAGCGCTGTTGGCTGAAGCACTTTGGCATCCCGAAGATCCTGCGTATTGATGAAGCCAAAGGCTGGGCTTCAAAACATGTGAGAGAATGGGCCAGTTCAAGAGGCATCACCTTGGAACTTCAACCTGCCGAACACTCCTGGCTTGGTGTGGTGGAGCGGAAGCATCAGGTGATCAGAAGATGCCTAGAACTCTACCAAGATGAAGTTGGCAAGCACGACAAGGCATCATTGAAGGAAGCTGCAGTCTACGTGCCCCATGCTGTGAACCAGTTGAGCTTCCACAAGGGATTCAGCCCTCAACAATGGGTATTTGGAAAGGTGATGACCCATGTGCATGGCTTGTCAGGAGAGCTCTTCAATCCTGGACAAGATGCACTTGACGAACAGGGCGTCTTTGCGGAGGTGCAACAGAGAAGGGCGGCAGCAGCTAAGGCCTTCATCGCTGCCGACTCGGATGCCAAACTTCGTCGAGCTTTCGCCCAGAAGTTCCAGGAGCAGAAGGAGAGTTTGGTGGTTGGCCAGCAATGCTGGTACTGGAGGAACGCCGGAGCCGGAATCCTACGGAAGGCTCGATGGCGTGGACCGGCGCATGTGGTCGCGATTGAGGACAATGGTGACGCCAGAGTTCTTTGGCTATGTCACGGCACTTCACTTGTTCGTTGCGCACCTCAACAAGTTCGGCCACTGGTGGGGGACAGTGGAGCTTTCGCGCCCATCGACCGTGCAGCGGCCATGAGAGACCTGGAGGAGCTCAAGGCAAGATCCACCACCCAATTTCGTGACGAAATGAAGCGTGCTGGCATTGACCTCAAGGACATGGAGTACCAGGACTGGGATGGTGATCTTGAGGCTGACTATCAGCCAGAGGCAATGGACGAAGATGACGACATGGAGCAGGACCCAGAGATGCAGCACAATTGCGCAGGCGCTTCTACCTCGACCACGACATGAAGATCGAGAGAGATCTCCTCGACGAGGACCTGTTCTTCATGGACCTCCCAACAGCTGCTCCCGCTGAGCCTGAGCAGGAGCGACAAGCTGAGAGCTCACCGAAGAGAAAAGATCATGATCCTGCTGAAGAACGACCAGCAAAGAATCCCCGTGGACCCTCATCATCGACAGCTGAGGCTATGCCACCACCAAAAGCAATCCCCGTTCCAACAGATGACGAGCTGGTGATTGACGAGGTCTTTGTGGTGGCGAATGAGGGCTCACAGCTGCCAGAAGGATGGAAGCTGGTGGATGGATCCTTCGAGCTCGACGAGATCTACGTGATGCAGAACCTGCGCAAGGGAGAGGTAAACATGAGGAACCTGACGCCCGATGAGCAGGCAGAGTTTGTGAATGGGAAGTGTTCAGAACTGGAACAGTACTTCCAAAATATGGTTTGGGAGTTCGCCGCAGACCAAGAGAGCAAGAAAGCAAT